GTTAAGATCACTTTTAAGTTATTAGTTTATTATACGTTTAAGATTAACCCCCGATCGTTTAAATTAGATTATCCCCGACCTCTCCTTATTATATTGCCATCCCGATTGATTACATCATTGATTATATCATCCCTATCTATCCTTATAAACCATTCCTGATATAATTATTATTATCGCTATTATAAGTCACTCTCGCAATTTTCCTTATAATTCTTACCTATTACCTGTTAACTATTGGAGCTAAACCGTGCACTGTTACTCGCTCTCCCAATCTACAGTACGCTCCTTATTTTTCGTAACACCGGTCACGTTACACCGCTCAGAATATACAAATCGCTTTAGCGTTAGGATATTGTCTAACATCGGTTTAATTCTGTACAAACATACGGAGATATACCTTTATAATAGGCATATTTTTGCCTATCTTCGAATTTAATACGTATACGCATAGAATTTGACTAGTCACTTATTAGTAGTCTTTGTCTAATAAAAATAAAAATAATTATCACAATATTAATTAATAAAACTTTTACCAATAATCATTAGAATGGAGGAGGAATATGGAATTCCCAGTTCGAGCTCAACTGTAAGAGTATAAAAAAATTTTTTTTTAAATGATTAGTGTGCATGCTAAATTTCATCTTTATTTTTAGTCTGCAAGTTATGATCACATCGGAAATTTTTATAGACCTATTACCGATGATTTAAAGTTTTTATCTGCTGCCAAAGAAGAATCTTTATCCAATCCTATTTCTAACAAAATAAACTTGAAGATTGAAGATGATAAGGCTGTTATTGATCGTGTTAAGGAGTTTATGAAAGATTTTAAAGAACCATCAAATTTATATGGTTTTAAATATTTAATTGAAGACCTTGAAATTAAACCATCTGCAAAATTATTAGGACTATTGGTTGAGGCACTCTTATTGCTCAGTGATTCTTCTTCATTTAAATATTATACAATTGACACTATCCCACATTTAGAACTACATCTTCGTACCTGGGTTGCAGTTTTAGAATTGGTGTTTTATTCTCCTATCGTATTAACTCGTGAAACTCGTGATAAACTTTATAGTAATCTAGATAGTTTCGTTGACATTCACTATCGGACAACTGAAGTATTTAATCAGGGTATTAATCATAGCTTTAAGCCTAAATTTAAGTCCAAGGAGATTAACAT